TCAAAAAATTAGAAAGCCAGGCTTTTATTGAAGAAAGGCTTCTCAGATGGAAAACTCAAAATAATTTGATTCAGCAGGTTGAAATGTTTCTGGAGTGTTATTAGGAGAAAATCCAAATTTATTTTCAATCAGATAAATGAGAGGGTGTATGCATACATGTCAGATGTCCAGTTTTATTTTGTGGATTTTATTTTCTTTTATTTTTGTCATCAATTTGTGCTTTGTTTCCTGCTTTGAAGTGATTAAATGTCTTTGAGGGGATTTAGGTTGGGTGGGGAAGGGGTTTGGATGTGGAAATCTTGATTGTACAGTACCTTGTGAATGCTGAAAAGCAGCAAATAAAGTGTTCTGTTCATTCATTCATCAGATAATTTCAACTGCCATTGTCCTTCCAAAGTTTCAGATAACAATATCAGACTGCCTTACAACTTTGGATGGATTTATTATATGTGGAAGAAAGTTCCCTGCAGATTGGCAAAAACACTTCTGAGGGCTTGCATTGGTCCACTGACCACTGATAACAGACCATTGGTTTACAAACAATAGATTTTTAATCCCATGGGGTTCTCTTCTACAATTACAGGGGTTCTATATAAGAAAATTAAGGAGGTTTCCTGTGACCAAAACAAAATTTCTGGCTGAACTTTGAAAATATGTGCTTTTTTGCCTGAAACTGCAGAATAAATTAGTTGTCAAGATGCTGAAATTGGAGGCAAGGGTTCAATTGCCCAATTAGTCATTCACTTCCTTCCAAAAGGCATCAAATCACGTTCTTTATTGCTTTGATAGAATTCATTCTAAAGATTGCTCAGGAAGAATATATACTATAACGGCACCAACGTTCTCTTTTTTTCTTGTTGTTGTTTTCCAGGCCTAGCTCCTGATCCTGTCAACCGTGACCGCGTCTCAACATGCCGACGAACTCGTTGCTCATCCTGCCTCTCTTCCTAAGAGTATTAGAGATGAAAATCTTAGGACTAAGCAACGGTTCCGCTCATTTCGCCAACGACCTCTTGTTCAGAGGAGCAAGTTTTCGACTGAATAACACCGCAACTACGCATTATACTACAGGTCTCCACACCTGGACGATCCGAGTTTGACAGGTCGGGTCATTGAGAACGAGAATTCCGTCAAGGGAAGAAAAATTCAGGAATGAAACATTATTTCATCAAAGACGACGGGTAAATCAGGCTTTTCTTCAGCTGTACTGTACTGGGTCACGTGTATAATCAGGTTATTCACAAGTATCTTTTTTCAATGTTGAAAAAAAAAATATGTTGTTCTCTCACCAGGATTTTATTCGCAAGGGGTAGATTCAAATTTCAAATTACAGTTGAACCCCAATAACTCAAACCTCCCTAAGTAGAATACCTCCATATGTCAATTTTTTGCAAGCCATTGCCTGAATCCCCCCCCCCCCCCCACAAACAATGCCTTAAACTCAAGGGCTTCTCCTTTAAAACCTCCACGTGTCAATTTTCTAGGGCCTTTTTGTTGCCACAGTACAGTATATTATTGACAAAGGAAAGAGAAAATGAATAAAAATGTGTTGCAGTGTTTTGAATGGAACTGAAAAATTAATAAGGTAAATGTCACGGGGTGCAAAAAAATGTTCAGGCCAGACAATTTGAAAATTTTTGTTATTTCAACCATTATCTTTTTCAACATTTTATATTTATTGGTTAAACCAGCAAAACGTTTACATTCTGTAAGAGGCCAGAAAATGTTTTAGCACCCTGTGATGTGGGTGGAGAACTCAGGTCATAACTCGAAAGTTTTCCCTCATCATCATGCAGTAAATTGATTTTTTTCCAAAAAAAAATTCCATAACCTCACAACATCATGGGGTATATCATAATTTTTTACAGTCTTAACCATACTATAAATAACCAAGGTTGCGCCCAAGTGGGACAACCCTCGTATCCCTTGCACAGCATAATTTGCAGAACAAATATGAAAAACTCCTAATTCCTAGTACAGTACAGAACCCGGAATATTATTTTATTTCTAGAATAAAAAACGCCTGGGAATAACTGGACTGTACTGTATATGATTGGATATTCAATTTAAGGTCTTTAAACTGGAAGATTTTCAATTTACGCGTAGTATAAATATCGGCGTTCCTGTTCTCTCTACGTTCGAAACCCCATTATTGTATGGTTACGTGTCCATGAACCATTTTTGCGTGTATGAGTACTTTTCTATTAAATTTATTAAATCTCGGTAAGTTTTAGCTTAAAGTGCGAACATTGTGTGGGTGGAAAAACTAGTGTGGACGTGTTTCCAGTCCGTGAAGTTTAATTCTAATACAACCTTTATTTCACACAGGATGTCGATAGGAGACAATTGGTCAAGTAGGTTTGGTAGTGGTGAGTGACTCCACATGACCCAGGTGTGGTTGACCGCCATACTTCCACAGTTGAATCTTGTTATTAAAAATTGGGACAAAGAAAGTAGGTTAATTTCACAAAAAATTCACAAAGAAATTCAAATAATATGGTGGATATTGAATAGGGATCTGACAAGTAAATCTTGTTATAAGCAATAAATTTTCATGAGGGATTTTTTGTGGCAAGTTCTATACTGTGCAGGGGTGTCACCACATCACAAAACCTATCTGCTTTCAGATGGTTTTGTTATTGGGATTTTTGTGAAGTATTGTAAACTGCAATTACACATGAGGTTACATTTTAAATAATTTGATTGTTCCAGACACTCACAATGAATACATTTCACCTGTGTTGACTAGTTGTCAGCATAAAGTCACAGATTTGAAATTGATTAGTGTGAAGTTGACATAATCCTGACAAGTTTGTGCTCATAAATATCTGAATTCCACAAAGTTCAAAAGCAAGATGAGAAACTTTACCAATATTTTTTTCAGTTTTCTTAACTCACGAAAAATTCCAAAGATATTATTTTAAAATGTGTTCAAATTTGAATGCATTTGGCCAAAAAATGTCAGAATATGAAAAGATTTCGTAATGTGAGTCACATTTTTACTTTTTTTCATCAAAAGTTTCGCGATATAAAATTTTGTTCAACGTTTGTTTTTGTAATGCAGAGACTTACTGCATATACATTACAGTACTGGACATGTGTTCAGTACTGTGTTCGTAGGAAGACTGTTCACTGAACTCCTGCCAAATCGCAGCACCATGGACAGATGTCGCTAGGAGAAGAGATTGCGCTCGAACTTGAAATGAACGTTACGACGGCGGTCTACACTAGTCTACTGCATATGCAATGTTCAAAATCTTTATAGAATATAGTTATCGGATCCCATTATGGATGAATCTAAGTTACGGCTCGCCCCGTCAAACCTTTCGATTTCAAGCATTCGGAAGTCTTCCGTGCGGTGGATTCGCAAAACGTATACCGCACAAGGGTTTTCCTTTTTCGACGATGTGATTATATCCTTGAACCAAACTATCGGCTCAACGTTTTATTGCACCATTCAGTATCATAGCGTCAATAATTAGCGGGTCCATTCGGAATGCCTCAATAACTTACGTTAGATATTATTGAGCTGGTTACGCTTCAGGTGGTCAAGGAAATCTGTCCAGGTCACCATTTTCCGGAGGAAATAATTATTCACTGAAAAGGCATGAATCTTTTTCAACATATTCTCAACGTAATTCCCCCAGAAAAAGTGTGCTTGAAAGAACTTCAACCGTTAGTTCCTTAGTGTGACGTATGTTCGGGGTCCCGCTGCGAATGTGCTTGGATCGGGGTTATAAAATCATAATGAGAGGCGCTCAAACACAAAATATTTGTTGAATTTACCGTAATAGTGTAGTACTTTCCGAAAGTTATATTTTTTTAATGAACAGTTGCAGCGTGTGTCTTCTGAATGTTTCGCATCAGTTGAACCTTGGAATAACAATGAAACGGACAGTTGAACAATCAAGCGATCAAAAATCGTTCTGAAATTCGTATCCGTACCGATGCAACCCAACGTTTTCTACACTTACGGAACGACGCGAGTGCTTCTGCCATGTCGATCCATGAAAAAAAGGAATTTGCAATGATCCCCGAACATCCTTTCAATCTACTGTACTTCGCGATCACTGAACGAGATTTTCTGTACCAAAAATCCCAACAATCGCTTGAATATCGGAGAAACTGAAAATGGCAAAGAACTTTCTCTCAACAGATGAATCGAACTTTCGCGCATTTGAAGAACTTGTCGTTCAAGATCCTGAGCCCCGCTAAGATCAGCTGGCAAACTTCGGCATTCACAGTGCCGATAATCCGCCAACACATAATTTACCAACAAATACAATAATTAACTTCGCGTAAAATGAAAAGCGAGTGTCACAGAATGATTAGAACGTATCCAATAACCTTGCCACCAAACCGGCGCAGACAATACCTTTCAACGTAACCAATCCAAATGTTCCCACAGTGTACGACTGATACATCAGCCCGGAACCGTCGCCAAATTCCATCCCACGCCAAAAATAACAAAGAAGCGTCAACGGTCAACTTTCGCTATTTCACGCAAAGGAATTTTTCCAAGGAAAATTCAGCATTATCTTACTTCATCCTACCCGAGTCTGAAACAAGTGTAATTGAATAGATATACTCACGTCGACAAAAAAGTGCTTCATCTTCGAATGAGAGGCAACGAAACTAGAAAAAGTTCACGAATTATAAACCTGAAACGGTAGAAAACAAGCCACTCAAAAGTTCGAAAGTACGCAATCTTCCTCGGGAAATTAAAGAAAACAGTACCGACGTGTTTTCCGGTTTTTATATTTTTTATTTTACATTCAAGACACGACAAGGATAAAGGTCGAAAGGAGTAAGAGCAGCGAATCTTGATTCCCTTCTGATCCAGATAATCCCGGTTTCAATCGGAGCCCTAAAAATTCGCTATTGCACCAAATCTGTAAGGAAGGCAAACCCAACTATGAGATCACAGAACTAGCTTTTCAATTAAATAATACAGTATGCATTAACTCACCTAGATTAAAGACGACTTAAGAAGTGAATAATCACTTCGAGTTCCATTCCTGTAATTCTCGGTGCTCACTTTCTACTTCTTCCAGGTATGGTTGCAGGTATCGACCGTTAGCGACGTCGTCTTCGAATGAGGTCCACTGGGATTTGGGTAGAATGTCTTTCTTCAAATTTAAATCTAGGGCACGGGAAATTCTGAAAGCTCTTTCGTCCGTGATGTGGGCTGGGATTCGACGCAACGCCTCTTTAACCGTATTATTTTCGGCCAACATGTCATCGTGGTACACTCCATAGACACGATAACGAGAATAGTTGAAGATCAACTGCTTCAGCCACTTGGCTCCTTCTTTACCAGCTTTCGCCATTGTAAATTTCGGCAAAATAAGTCTTAATCTAACTGAAATCTGCAATAGAATAAAATAACATCATTTTGAGTAGCTCAACTGGAAACAAACATAAGAAAACACGCCTCATCGCAATATGCGTCCAGTAACGCGCATGACTGGAACACCTCGTAAAAGAAATGTATTCATCCCAAGTTTGAACTTCGATCACGAATACCACAGGCAGATTCCATCAAAGGATTTCCAGCAATCACTTAATCATACAGTACAGTAATTTTCTATCCATGGGACACTTCATTTCAAACCTAGCCTCACTGACGATCGCAAGCAGAGGAACAGAAACAGTAGACGGGTGGGAACCATGTTGGTTCTTCACAGAGCTCACCAATAACTGCTAGTGACATGATGACTATTCGCAGTCACGTAAAGATTCCCCAAAGCCTGGATAAATCCAATCCTGAATGCACCCTTCAAGAATGAAGGAATTAGATCACACGTACTTCTCTGATGATTGTTTCAAGAGTATTCTGAATGGTACAAATCCCTGTCCAGATTAACCCCTTCGCATGACTTTAAAAGGTAGGGCGAAAACAATGAACGTTGGTACAAAGGTTCACGTCAGCTACTGCTCTAAGAAATTGGTCGACATATTATTCTCTCCTGCTTAATGAAGTGTAAAGGCCCTAGGCACTTTATGAGCACTGACCTCATCGCCGACCCTCAACAATCCGTTCAGGCAAACAGTCACCAAAAATACCGTCTTCTTACGCGAAGTTGATAATTCCATCGCATCGTCGCGGTCATTAGTCGCCCGAATTCCAGTGCTGCTGCTGGGACAAAGAAGCCGTGGTAGCAAATTAGTGCCAAATTCAAACAGCTGCCTCATCACGATGAAGAAAGTGTTCTCTTGACGAAGAAGAGCCATCAAAATCTCAGCTCTTACTCGTACTTCAGCAGCACTCTGTACCAAGAAAAAACAATAAAAGAGCAATAACATGAAGTACCGTACGCAATAAATCTGCGATAATATAAAATGAGGTACACTATTTGACTCATCCGCGAGCTGCGCATGTCATATACAGTACATCATCAGCACATACCGCATCAGGGAAAAACAATTTTCAAGGCAAACCTTGAGCATTGAACTTGCGCAAACAAGAGAATAACAGTCCACATCCACTCGCGCAGCAGCCAGCCAAGGACCTTGCATAAATTATCGACAGACATCTCAATTTAACATTATTCCGGCAAAAAAGGTTTGTTTGACTTTTCGCAGCCTTTGTTTGCAGAATTTTCCGAATTAAGTACGAACGAAGCCATATTTCTACATTTATATGCTGTAGGACAGGCTTCTTTTATTTTGAATCACGAAATTCAAGGTGAATCACCATCAGAATCCAAGACATTTTGATCAGTTTTGGGGGTAAAACGCGATTTCACGCGGGGTTCGAACGAAATCATGCACCGCTTCCGACAATTCATACGATGCAACAATAATCAATGTAACTGATCACAGTAAAGTTCTATGAAACTCATTCGAATCTTGTTATTTGAGTATGATCTGATGATGAACTGAACGCGAGTACTGTATACTTCTGCAAGTCTAACACTATACATATAAATAAGTATAGCGCTTCAAGCGTATATAGTCGTGGATTTTCTGTCATTTTTAATTACAGTTCATCTTGGCAATGATTATATACTGTATTTAGTGTATCATTTGAGGAGTTGACGAATATCCAGTACTATTAAATACTGTATACGCTGTACTGCACTAGCTTACGCTGGGCTGAACACCAGTTCGGGACCCTTTTCGCCCAGCCAAATAATGATGTTTCAGTATAATCGATTCAAATTTGTTTTTGTGGGCATTGCAGTCATCTCAGTTAGAAAAAAATTGAAACATGTTGGTCGAAAATTGTGTTCCACAACAGTAGTGGTAGAAACAAAAATTTTATGTAGTCTCCGGCAACGACATTCACGAGATCAGAAAAAATTCGCTCTAGAGAGGATCTCGTTGCAGATGAGAACCTTAAAAATATAGTTGTAGAGAACGCTATATATGGGATCACAAATTGCATAGAGAAAATCGTACCTGCATAATATACGGTGTAGCACATTGCACAACGCACTGTGGAATTTTTCAATTCACAAATATTGTATAAGAATTAAACTCTGTACTATATTATCGTCTTGTAGTGTGCATGTGACAAGGTAAAGTGGCCCCGTTAATTGCGGAGGTGCTTCAAGAAGTCGTAGTGGTGTTGTAGTAGTACTTTGAAGTTCTTGCAAAGGGCAGCGAACTACAGGCGATCCAAACGAAGCCCTTCGTTCATCAGAATCGCCACCGAGATACTTTCCGAGAGACAATCCTGCGTCAGTTTCGCGTCATCGTAGCCGCACAAATCCAACAAAGCCTGCAATGCTAAGGCGCAATCGTCCAATGAGATCCGCATCCGTCGACGGCAGCTGTGCTGTGAGCCGTCCGCTGATCCTTCCATCCTGTTACTGATGCAGAGCAAGTCGTTACTATGCAGGACGCTACGCAAGTACTACGCAGCGCTCGCTTCCACTGTAAAGTCTGGTCTCGAGTCGAAAAGACGGACTACATTATTACCTTATACTGCGTTAGTACGTGCGTTATACGACCAAAATGAATAATCATGCAAAAGTATATATGCAATATCCCTATATTTAGTATAGCGAGAGTTGAACAAAGCAGTTTATCATGATCGGGAAGCGCTGTCTGATTGTCTGAATTCGGAAACGACAAAAAAGCTTCCGCTCGCAGAAAAAGCGGTCCACAGTAACAACAGATATACAAGCGTTGCATCCGAGGTACTATATACAGTATATACAATCAAAAGGTACAAATAAATAAACCGATCTGCATACATAGCATTCATCGCGTATGCTCAGCATACATACACTCAGCGAACACAAGTATAATGTAAGCAGGTGAAACTCGAAGATATGAGCGGTATAATAGAGAGGAGTTTTTTGAAATATGTTGTATACTGTGCGTATAACAATCGATCAATTGCAGCTTCATCGTCAGCCTGGCCGTATTTATAGGCAGATCCGCGGTTTAAAAAATCGTCATTGGAGATTCTTCCTGTAGTGAAAAACGTTGCAAGGGGGGTCGTACAACAAAGAAAGAGTGTCGTATATATGACCTTACTAAGTACGTAATGAGTACGACGTAGGACGTGTCTTCGGCTGGCCTTTAAGGCTACGATCTCCGCCATACCGTAGCACATGCAGCGGGAAACCGATCGCTCAACTGATAATATGAGGAACTTTTTTAAAAATCGTTCACAATTGAGAGCAAATCCTATGGAGGAAGGATGCTGCGGCTTGTTTTGTGACTGATAAGAAAATATATTTATATCTCACCGATGTTTACTGCACAGGAGTTTCAGAGAAATTTCGTTCTTATACATTACGTACTTTACTATAGTATCCCCGGCCAACCTACCACCTGTATTACAGGATTCCTTTTTTTTTCAAAGTTACGAGCACAAAAACATGGGGAAGTTCACCAGTGACTTGGAGATTAAGGCAGGTGCACCAGACTCAGGAACAGCCTCATCGTCATCGTCCTCGTCATCTAAATCTTCCTGTGGGAGAATACGGAATTAGACCATATTTTGAGGTTAAACACTGAACCTAATTTAGTTCAAGCCAACTCACTCCGTAAATGAAAATCTTCCGCAAATCTCTCCAACAATTTTTTCGATTCACTCCTTCGAAAGTTCCTTGCCTTTTCAACGCAATAGCAGCTAAGATACCTTCATTAATATTGAACCCTGATGGATCCGCGACGCTCGCCATATTAATCCTTTAAAAAAAACGCAGATCACCTTAGACTTATAATTTGCGTTGATATACACAGTACTGCTATGCTAAATTGAAACAGTAAGCGGCCGTTACTAAACCATCAGCAGACGCGCGCGTTGTTTTTGAGCTCCGATACACTGTTTTCAGCAGGCGCCGATACGATTAGCCAGAAAAATCTAACAGCAAATTGGCAAAAATAAATTTTATCCATGAATTCAACAAGGAGTAAAAAAAAGGGCGGGATACAAAATTTAAATCAATTGTACTGAAAAACGGACACCAGGAATACCACCCGTTATAGCAGCCCAATATGACAGCACTTCGGCAACTATATACGGTATACTGTATTCGTGGAGCAAGAACAGCACCACCAAGGATCTTATCAAAGTGAATATTATTGTCTCGAATGCTAAGAGTAACTCAGCATTTCCCTTGAAGTCAATACTGCGCATCATGAAGATTAAATTTGGTTAGGGAGTTTCAGTTAATATAGAGCGTATATCTCTGTCTGACGTCCAAAAAAGCGAACCCGGGAATCATAGGTTAAAAGTATTGACCTTTCGATATAAAAATGATGATTTACTTACACTTCAAGAAAATGAAGACATGCACTATTATATAACCACACACGTCAAAGCCAGTTGTTGGGGGGAAAGGGCATCTTTTGCAACAAAGTGCTCCCCTGCCGCTGGTATAGAAGGCAGAGTGGAATTCGTTCCAGAAGACGTCACGCAGTTGAAGATGAAATGTCGTAGAAAATCACTGCATGTGCTCACTATACTGTACAGAGAAGCACGGTTGACTGATGAAGGTAAGTGTAGAACAGCGATAATATCGATTATCACAATTCGCCGATGACCGTCGCGAAAATAATATGCGTCAAGCATTCATGGATTCGCAACTCCAGCTCACAGGTTCACAGCAGCACAAGCGTCATTACCCCGCACTATACTACATGGGAGGGTAGGTATGCAAATTTTAATGAGTATTAAGATGAAAGTGCACCCAGGAAAAGCGCCTGGCGGTTCAACCTCTGATGGAGGAATTTGTGTGATACACGGATGTTATGAACTCCCAATGATCGAGTGGGAGCTCATCCGACTGATTTTTGCCTTTGATCTGGAGGCACTGCTCCAGCTGATGATTGCTCATTAAACCATTGGCGGCTCCCGCTGAAAGTAAAAATCAGCGGGAGAGCCACTAGACCACTGGTTGTATGAACAACCATCCGGCAGCTCCTGGCCTCCTGCTGCTCTAAGTTGCTGAGTTGAGCTTCTGCCAGATCATCAGGAGGTGCTATGCAAGTGTATACATGAGTACTGGTTGCTCTTGCAACCAGCAGATAAGTGCCAAGGGCCTCCAAATGAAAGTAAGAAATTAACAATACCCAGCCAGATCCAGCAATATATCAGGCCCATTCCGCCCATAGCTCGGAGATGTGGCGCCTTTGTGCAAGTATACATATATACCAGTACCCCCCCCCCCTTTTAAAGAAAAGAAATTAAGTACAGGTAAAAACTCATGGGTAAATCTTGAGTATCGGTAATTTTCATCTTGGAAAACTCCAATTGGCAGTTACACAGTTATAGCACTTAAACTGGCAGTTACCGCTATGGAAATCCTAGATAATAGTAGCTCATCATCCATGCATCTTATTGGGACAGAATCAATCAGATTATTATTGCAAAAATATATAGCAAATGTATTGAAGTCAACATTTCATTCAGAAAGCTTTGCGGGGATTTCATCCAATCAAAAGAGATAATATATTATCTTTTAAAAGAAATATATGCAAATCTTTTTAACTGCTTATAAAGATAAAACTTTCATCCAACTTTGACAACCATTTCATCTTTTATGGCTTTATGCTGTCACCTGAAGTGTAGGGATATGCATCTTTAAAAGAGGCAATAAATTACTCATGCAACCAGCAACAGTTCCACCCAATGACTGTAAAAATCAGCAGTTGCTCCTGCCAGATATATAGCCAGATCATTGGCAGCTCCTGCCAGATCATTGGAAGCATCCTCTGGTACCCGCATTGACTTTCAATGAAAGTTGAAAAAAATCGATGAGATTAGCTTCAGCTGGTTGCATATTAGCAACCAGCAGTGCTCACAAAATGTCTTTGAAAGAAAAAATGGGTTGGAGCAGATTCTGATTGCTGCAGGTCCTATGATAAGCAATCCATTCAATGTGCTGCACTCCTCAACTGCAATGTACTGTACATACATGCATGCTGAATGTACAATACTGTACATTGAAAAAAGCTTAAATGTGTTGTCCTATACTTTATTTGGAATTGATGGATTATGGTGAGTTTTAAAATGTGAATAGCATTTCCATTCTTTTCTTTCATTCTTTGCAATAGTTGCAGCAGTATAGTCATAAATTGTATGCAGGACAGAGTAATCAGCAATTCAATGACTTATCCAACACATAAGATGTTCTTTTTGGCTGCCTGCTGAAATTGTCTTGGAAATCTAAACTTCACCTTTTTGACAGGAAATATTAGAGGCTGCTTTTATATAGATGTTTTATGAGTCAATTTTCATGTTTCTCAATAAAAATAAATCATGAATTTATTTCTTCTATTATTTAATAACTTGCTCTGCTCATATTTGGAATCTTGTACCAATTCAGGAAATGAATATGCAAGAGGCATACTAATAGAACTGATGTACAGTATGAGCAAATGCAAATCAAGAGTCATGAATGACAATAATTTGGCTCAAAGATAAAAATTTCCTACAGCCATTTTTATTATAAATCCTAACTGAAAGGGAAAAGGTACAGTGTTTTTTTGCAACATCAAAAAATTTTGAAGTGTTCATCAACTTGCATCAAATGGGTTTCATCTGCCATTTTTTCCTCCTGGCTTGATCTCCTGCCCTCTATATTCATATGATCTCAAATATATATGCAAAATTGTATAATTTTGTGTGTGTATTTGATGGACAGATCTTATTGCACTTATCAGGGGGCATGTGTGGTCTACCATTTCAAAAAATTGATTTTCTTCATGAGGAAATGTGAATGTTTTTTCAATGTTTTCTGTGGAAGAAAACATTGAAAAAATTGTCAGGAAATTCCCTATATACAGTATAGGAAAACTCAATCCAGTTTTTGAATGACCTATATATATAATTTCAGGATGGCCTACAATTTTTATCAGTTTAGAACAAATATTAACGCCATTCCAGAGGATTAAAAGTGTTACACCCTTGCTTCAAAAAGGTTGAAAAGCCCTGGTCTACAGGATGATGCAGGTACTGCGTGCATTAGCAAAAAGCTAAATCGCCCTACTACCTGGGTGAAGTTCCTCTTTCTTTCGATCAAGATGGCGATAATGCCCTATGTCTCTAAATGATCTATGTTTGTGCTTAAAAGTCTTGTCTCCATTGTGTCTTGCTTTTTATTTATTCATTTTATGTGATAAAAATGGTACTGTACTTCATTATTCCTCAAGGTATATATTATGGCACATTATACAGGTACTCTCTCTACAACAAAATTCAAGGGAACAGAAAAAAGGTTTTGTAAAGATAATTTTGTTACAGGGAACACTTTTAACAGGGGGAGAAAATCCTATGGCACAAACAAATCTTTAAACAGAGAAATTCGTTGTATAGACAAGATTGTTGTATATATAGAGAGTTCACCGCTGTATTTATATCCTGCAACGTATATGACTCAATCAAGTGATGTATCCATTGTACTGAAAAATTTTGTTACTGCACTTTTCATGAAGAATTTCACTGCTAAAATAAGAAGCTTGAAATGCATGGGTCTGAAACTCTGAATATAGTTGAAGAAACGCATGTTATGCCAAGTACAGTACATGAGTATATAGGATCAATTTACAATTTTACCCTAGTGGTACTCTAGGGCTCTTAGCTCTTCTAGCTTGTGCTAGCTGTGGATATCGACTTTTTACTGCAAATGGCGACGCAACTGAGCAAAGGCCTATGTGGCTGCCTAAAGGCTGGGTGTACTTCTAGAGTCCATCCAGCCTAGGCAGGGTGGACTCTAGAGTCCAGATTCAGGGTAGAGTACGCCCTGCTGCCTGCCACACCTATTCGGCAACCACTTCACCGAGTTCAAGTTGGTTGTGCATGAAGCGGGCATACAACGAAACCCCTAGCGACACCTGGTTACATCTGTTTCAACGTCATAGCATTTAGCGTCACAGTTGCTTATCGGTAATGGATCACTCGATGAACAATTTGAAGTCGTGTGATACAACGACTTATGAGGGGCAAGTCCATGTTTTCTCTCCCCAGCATTTCTGCATTTGTCTAGTATATGGTCGGCTTCAAGTTCGTATAAACCGCGAGTATTTATGCAGATTCCCGATTACATAGGTATTAAGACATTTCTTGGAGGAAGGGAATATTATAATCCAATTTAATTCTAAAGTTGATGGCTGCTGATGCTGGACTTTTTCTAAGAAAAAAATGTGAAGCCCAATCATTTATGTTATTACATGTCCCTGGAATACATTCAGGATCAGGGAATGGCCCAAAACTCATGTGATTCAGGAGGAGTGCATCCTCCTTCCCATAAAGTAGTGTACTTAATCATCCTTGATGTTTTGGGTTTTGATGTGCACTTTGTTTTTTACGATTTTTCAAACGTTTTACCGATATCTTTCAATAGGTAGTGAAACCATGCAAATGCCTGAATGTCAAAATATTCTAAATAATACACAGTATGCTTGAAATTGTGTGTGTTTTTTTTTACTCCTGTAAACAAATCGCGCTTCTGAGCATGCATTGCTGACGGAATGATAGATTTAAATTGAATGACAGTTTTCTAAAATAATGTTGCCAAACTTTCTTATACCATCAACACATGTTCTTTACATGCCCTAACAAACGGAAATCGGCTAAATAATATACAGTATTAACACATATAATTATTGTAACAGCATCAACAAGCGTGCATTGAAATACTCAACCAGGGTCGATCCAGCAGGTGACCCATGGCGGATAAGCAGACGAAGTTAAAGGAAGTAGCGTTGGGAGAGCGGTGAACCCAGGTGTCACCAGCGATTGTAACTGAAATTTCCGTGCTCGCTCATGTGATCAGTGAAGGTGTTTGAATGTCGTACGTCGCGTGTTCTTCCTGTGCAATACTCCGAAGTCAGCTCTGGAGCTGACGCTCGTGTAGAGATTCTGTGTGGTGGTGAGCGTTGTGTTTCAGTCACGTCATCGTGTGCTAGTTCGACGCTTTCGCTGAAACAGCGTAACTTCTGGTGTCAGTTTTCTGTAGTGTGGATTGGTGATAGGATCACGTGGGGATAAAAATGTATAAATTTTCTCATGGGGGACTCTTTGGAACACCTTTGTTTGTTTTTTTTGGCATGGTGAACTAACTTCCATTCGTTTCGCGAGCAGGTTCTTCGAGGCATTGTACTTCTAGACATGGGCTCGAACCGAAAAGTGGCGTTGATAACAGGAATTACCGGCCAAGATGGTTCGTATCTCGCGGAATTTCTCTTGGGTAAAGGTTACGAAGTACATGGGATAGTACGGCGCTCAAGTTCATTAAACACTGGAAGAATAAAGCATTTGTACTAGGACTCAAAGACTCATGAGGAGGAATGATGCACTTGCATTATGGAGATCTGACAGATTCATCGTGTCTAGTGAAAATAATATCATGCACGAAGCCGGATGAAGTATACAATCTCGGAGCACAAAGTCATGTCAAAATATCGTTTGACCTTAGTGAGTACACAGCCGATGTCGATGCTCTGGGTACTCTGAGGTTGCTAGATGCGATCAAAACGTGCGGCTTGGAGAAAACTGTCAAATTTTATGAGGTGCGCAATTTCCTGTTGGTCTTGAGTCATCGCATTACTTTTCACAATAATTCTTTTTTTTTCAGGCAGCAACATCAGAAATGTTCGGAAAGGTTCAAGAGATTCTCCAAAAGGAAACGACTCCTTTTTATCCTCGTTCACCATATGGGGTTGCTAAAGTTTATGCGTACTGGATAACTGTGAACTACCGTGAGTCCTATGGGATGTTCGCTTGTAATGGTATTCTGTTCAACCATGAGTCTCCGCGGCGGGGAGATAAAAGTATCAAGATCTGTGGCGAAAATTAGTCTTGGCCTTGCGGAATCCTTCGAACTCGGTAATCTGGACGCATCTCGTGATTGGGGCTTCGCCAAAGAATACGTGGAAGCTATGTGGATGATGTTACAACAAGATGAACCGGACGATTACGTTATTGCCACGGGTGAGACGCACACCTTTAAAGAGTTTGTTGAACTAGCGTTCTCACAGATCGGAATAGAAATAGAATGGTTTGGGAAAGGGCCTGAAGAAGTTGGCAAATGTAAGAAGACCGGCATTACTCGTGTGAAGATAAATCCGAAGTACTATCGACCTACAGAAGTCGATGAATTACTCGGAGATGCCAGTAAGGCTAAAGTTAAATTGGGTTGGGAGCCAAAAACGACGTTTGTAGAGCTTGTTCATCTTATGGCGAATTCCGACATGCAGGTTATGAAGACCGATCCCACGGCTTAAGCCATTTTTGGTGATATTAAAGTTTCGTTTCCGTGTGGTGAATGGTGGCACTGACGTACTGTGGTATGCATATTGCAAAGTTTGACAATTCGATTGTTCTGTTGTGAAGATTTGGAATTCCGATGATTTATTTGTGTATGGTGTTCATTGTCACATGTGGTGGAAATCAGCAATTTTTGGATGGTGAGATGTTTCGTAATTTAATCCTTCGCCGACATTTCGTGTAAACGTCTAATACGGTATTTTGGTTACTTCGCAGGAATGGAAGCTTTATCGTGAATATGCTTTTTGTGAGAAATCTTACGGTGTTCGAAATACGCGTGAAGACAATCGTGGCATGAGAGGACTTTGTATGATTACGGAACGACGTATAATGTCATTTAACTACAGACGCAAGTTTCCCTGAAATCAACTCGAAAATTATGGTCCTGTCTGCATTCCGAATGATCGTGTTTTTGTCTCATTGACTAGTCGAATGCGAAGTATATTCGAGATAATGACTCAGATTTCTGCTGAATTTCGATTTGAAAAATGCGAAAAACAACTTCGGAGATCCAACTTATTGAAGAGACAATATGAAGAAATGTTTTCGTTTTCTTAAACTGTGAGTAAATCATCGTTCCTATAGAAAGATCGATAATTTGAGCCTTTGTTTCCCGTGTTTGCTTCCTTGGATGTCAGACAGAGATACGCTCTGTAATAACCAAAACTCCCGCACCAAATTTAAACTCTTCATGGTGTGCAGTAAGTTTCAATTGACTTCAAGTGAAATACTGAGTAATTCTTAGCATTAGAGACAATATTCATTTTGATGAGATTCTTTGTGGTGCTGTTTTTGCTCCCCAAATACAGTATACCTACCACAAGTGTCATCGGGCTGCCATAAGGCGCGGTATTCCAGGTGTCGGTACTTCAGTACAATTAATTTAAATGTTGTATCCCGCACTTCTTCTTACTCCTCGTTGCATTTTCAGAGAAAATTTGTAAATGACTTCGAACCTTTGATCTGTCGCGTGTTGCTTGTGCATATGCCACCTGACCTAGATGTTCTAGTGCATGAGTCACCCACACACAGTATAGCAGAACCTCTGCTTTCAATATCTGATAACTTCTCCGTTGAACGCAATTATGGCTGTAATTGCGCGTCAAGATAAGACCAAAACTGATTCCTGTGATTTTGAGCGTGTTCTCTAATTCGAGGTAAACCAGGAAATTGCATCCGTTTTTTTTTTTAAGCACGGCACATCGTCAAACATGATGCGTAGGAATACAAACATGTGAATGATAAAGTGATTCACTGTTTAACCAGTGTCACATGACCGCATTGCTATTCGAGAATAGATTTCTCAGGGAAAATTGGCTGCGGTTTCATCTTTTTGAATACCCGTTGTTAGTTTTCTGTATTTCATTCAGATTATGCTTCAAAACCTCAGCATCAAAGGTTCAAGAACAGTACGTTCTGTTAGTTGAGGACGCCAGATTCCCGTAGACTGATTTCACATTTGCTCCACCCTGTAAATTGTATCTTTGCGAAATTTGAAGTCTGACAGGGTGCATCTAAAAGAATTTCCATTGAAATTATTTTATCTATTGATTCAGCCCCATCACCAAATGTCCCACAAGATTTTGTGACGCTAAGAGAAGAAGATACTAAATTTAGTTAACTGGTGGACTCCACAACAATCTTGTTTGTAATGATTTCCTCTGACGAATTTTTTTCGTGGTCCCACTAGGTTAAACTCCCCATGTTATATGCATTCTCTACCACGAAATTATTACAAAACATTTTTTTCTGTTCCTCTGAGGTTCTTTGCAGAGAGAGTCCAACTGTACTAATGATACTTAGGGAGGAGAATGTAAGATTTAAAACGGCAAATAAATTTATTTTTTATAATTGAAATGCCGACCCAAAATATTTATGTGGCACAGGAAGGAAAATGTGTACTTTCCTGTTATCTCAGTACCTCATTCCTAGACCACACTACCATCCAGACAAATCTTTAGGATGAGTTCATAATCACAACGACCTAACAGAAACTGTGAATTTTATTTTTCTGCATTCTGCTGAAACTGATTTTAGGAGGTGGTTAGGTAAAGTTAGGTTAGGTCATGTTATGTTAGTTACAGATATCTTTTAACTAACATAACCTGACCTAACCTAACTTTATCTAACTGCCTCCCAAAATCAGTTTCAGCAGAAACGCAAAAATGCAGAAACTGATTTCGGGAGGCAGTTAGGTGAAGTTAGGTTAGGTCAGATTAAATTGGTAATGACTTCGAACCTTTGATCTGTCGCGTGTTGCTTGTGCATATGCCACCTGACCTAGATGTTCTAGTGCATGAGTCACCCACACACAGTATAGCAGAACCTCTGCTTTCAATATCTGATAACTTCTCTGTTGAACGCAATTATGGCTGTAATTGCGCGTCAAGATAAGACCAAAACTGATTTCTGTGATTTTGAGCGTGTTCTCTAATTCGAGGTAAACCAGGAAATTGCATCCGTTTTTTTTTAAGCACGGCACACAAGTGATATCAATGCTCAATTTAGGGCCATGGCAAGAATAAAATTTGTGGCACTCTGGGATTTGGCACAAAATTGGGGGTTTTCTGTCAAGAGCATATTTTTAAATTTTTTCTCTGGTGGGTATTATGGCACTAGATTGTGGGTTGACTGTATACCTTAGATTTGTGAAAATGTATCCAAATCTTGTAAATGTACTAGAATCATTGATTGTGTCTTGGCCTAAGGGCCTTAATTTTTGTGAGTCAAAATTCATCAAGAAACATCTGTTATGTCATCGCTGCAAATACTGTACTTTCAAGTTTCAACGCCAAACTTGCTTTGTATGGCTTTTGACTTCCGCGTCCTTCCTGATCAGTTGCATTGCTTCCAGTAGGTATTGTTGTGGTAGCAGAATGGTATTTTCATTGAATAGCAGGAAACCGTCAGGAGCGGGAATGACGTTCGAACTGTTGATTATATCTTTGCCTCAATCCTATTCCACAATCGAACTTCAACTTTCCTGAGGTGACGTTCGTGTTCGACGCATTTCAGAGGGATTTTTGAATTTTCACATAGCATCTTTGCGTTCCGTGTCAGAAGCAGGTTCATTCCTTTTTTTGCGGTGGGGTTTAAAAAAAAGGGAGACCCCCAGATGCAGACATAATAATTGGTGCATCAAGAGTGTCCCTAAGTCAAGTCTCATTTCCCCATAGAATTTCATTGTATAATTTTTAATTGGTGATTCACGTACAAAATACTCACCATAATTCCATGAAAATAAAAATTGTCTCCCAATTGAAACTGATTCAATCAATATTTTTCAACACAATACTGTACGGACATTTGGGGAATTGGATATTGATACCTCTGTAGAGTACATAGAAATTTTGGCATTCTGTGTAAAAAATGACATTCAAGTGAAAAAGAGAGAAGGAAGTCCCTTTATGCTGGAGGTAATGTTTTAAAATTAGCTAAATGGGTGGTAAATTAGTGAGAGAATTTACCCAAGAACTTTTCTCAAATCAATTTTAGGGTTGAAAACATCTGTTTCTTGTAATTTGGCCAGAAACTTATTTGCAATTTTATCACAAAATGTCCCCATGTTGAGTCAGTGTCCTTGTTTTTTTTATCAATTTTTATGGGAAAATAAGTGTCCTTATGTCACTTTGTCTGCATGTTGAGGTGTCTGCATTTGGGGGTCTCACTGTAATTTTCAGTGATGGTGGTGAAAATTAAAGTTGAACCTCAAGGAATCAAACCTCCTTTTGTCGAAATTTTTCCCCTGAGTCTCTGTCTGAATTTCCAATGCATCCATAACCTCCCTAATTCAACTTTTTTTGAGGGCCTTCTGGCAATTATCTTATTGAGAGGAAAGTAAAACAAATTTAATGATGTTTTTTGAAAGGTAGCAAAAGACCTACAGTATTAGGCAAATAAACCCCTACCTTCAACTTCAGCATGCTGTCAACTTATTCAAGAAGTAGTTCAAGGCCCAGAATGTCACCAATTACAAGTTCATGTACAGTAGTTTTTTTCATTCTTTTCCCCAACAAAAATGTCTGTTTCTGTAACTCGAAACCTCCCAGTTTAATTGGTTTTTTTGGCCCCCTGAAGTTTGGCTCAAAGAGATTCGACTGAAATTTCATAGTTCAGTGTTCCGCAGCGATAGCAAGAAAATAACCTACCTGGAAACATTTCATGAAGATCTTTTCGTCCGTACATAGAAAACGTTTAATCAATATTTGAGGTATGAAAACGTTACGATTCTCTCTCAAAAGTGTCTTCTCCATTGTTTGCTTAAATTTCAGATTGTGCAAGTTCACAAAACAACGCGTGATCCCCGTTTTTTTTACATACGGTTTTGTGATAACGTTTGAGGAAACTGATTCCTTCACTCAGCTGATTGGAAGCTTCCCAGTGTCTTGACCATGTCTGTTGAATCATATTTTGGTTGCAAGAGTAGTCAAGAAGTTGGGATTCTCCCGATTTTTTTTAAAGAAAATTTTATTAATTTTTTGCGAATTTAATCATATTTTATGATGAAAAGCTGAACCAAGTTAAAATTTGCTTCGGGGGATTTTCCCTGATGAATCACTTGGGAGTCCAATGAAGTGTCTCAATCTATCAAGATTACAGTATTTTTCGTCCATCCTGGAAATTCGTGTGTGTGTGTGTTCTTTTCCGTTATATTTTTAGTTGAACCATCGTTGATGTGAGAGAATACATTTTGTACAGTGGAAGTGTATTATCTCATCTTCCCCATCTTTGTCCGTGTTTGTGAATGGGCACCAAAATTTCGGTCTTGTCTTACCGTCTTTAATCTTCTTGTTGTTTGTCTAAAAAAAAAAAAGCGGATTCCGATCTCAGAAAAAATCTGCCAAGAATAGAAGAAGTGTGTACAATTGTACGAAAAGTGTTGATTTCATTCCGTGCTGATGAAGTGGAGAAGTGAGCGAAAGCTCTTCTATCGGAACTTGGTGTTGATTCAAATATTTTCGTGTCAGTGTGGATCATGTGAGAAAACTGCGTTTATTTTCTCAGTGGAAGACTTCCATCTGGGTTCTTCGAGTGTACAATGCATCCATAACCTCCCTAATTCAACTTTTTTTGAGGGCCTTCTGGCAATTATCTTATTGAGAGGAAAGTAAAACAAATTTAATGATGTTTTTTGAAAGGTAGCAAAAGACCTACAGTATTAGGAAAATAAACCCCTACCTTCAACTTCAGCATGCTGTCAACTTATTCAAGAAGTAGTTCAAGGCCCAGAATGTCACCAATTACAAGTTCATGTACAGTAGTTTTTTTCATTCTTTTCCCTAACAAAAATGTCTGTTTCTGTAACTAGAAACCTCCCAGTTTAATTGGTTTTTTTGGCCCCCTGAAGTTTGGCTCGAAGAGATTCGACTGAAATTTCATAGTTCAGTGTTCCGCAGCGATAGCAAGAAAATAACCTACCTGGAAACATTTCATGAAGATCTTTTCGTCCGTACATAGAAAACGTTGAATCAAAATTTGAGGTATGAAAACGTTACGATTCTCTCTCAAAAGTGTCTTCTCCATTGTTTGCTTAAATTTCAGATTGTGCAAGTTCACAAAACAACGCGTGATCCCCGTTTTTTTTTACGTACGGTTTTGTGATAACGTTTGAGGAAACTGATTCCTTCACTCAGCTGATTGGAAGCTTCCCAGTGTCTTGACGATGTCTGTTGAATCATATTTTGGTTGCAAGAGTAGTCAAGAAGTTGGGATTCTCCCGATTTTTTTTAAAAGAAAATTTTATTAATTTTTTGCGAATTTAATCATATTTTATGATGAAAAGCTGAACCAAGTTAAAATTTGCTTCGGGGGATTTTCCCTGATGAATCAGTTGGGAGTCCAATGAAGTGTCTCAATCTATCAAGATTACAGTATTTTTCGTCCATCCTGGAAATTCGTGTGTGTGTGTTCTTTTCCGTTATATTTTTAGTTGAACCATCGTTGATGTGAGAGAATACATTTTGTACAGGGGAAGTGTATTATCTCATCTTCCCCATCTTTGTCCGTGTTTGTGAATGGGCACCAATATTTCGGTCTTGTCTTACCGTCTTTAATCTTCTTGTTGTTTGTCTAAAAAAAACGGATTCCGATCTCAGAAAAAATCTGCCAAGAATAGAAGAAGTGTGTACAATTGTACGAAAAGTGTTGATTTCATTCCGTGCTGATGAAGTGGGGAAGTGAGCGAAAGCTCTTCTATCGGAACTTGGTGTTGATTCAAATATTTTCGTGTCAGTGTGGATCATGTGAGAAAACTGCGTTTATTTTCTCAGTGGAAGACTTCCATCTGGGTTCTTCGAGTGTAGCCTCGTGTAACAATTTTTGTTTTATAGAAATGAATGAAGGTACGAGCAAGAAAGTCCGGGGTGTTCAGCAGAAAATAATCAACACCCAGCTGTGGCAAGTGAAACTTTACCCCGTGTGTATCAATCTTCGACTGAAGTTTTCAGTTGTCTCCTAAACAGGATATAGTGCAGTGTGACAAGATTGTTGGTTTTGCCTCTGGCTACGTTGCTTTTGGACTGTCTCCTATCTATTGCGCGCGACTTCTCGCTTTGGCATGACAAAGGACAGATTACCTGCCTTGAAAGCAGTGAGTATAATTTTTCAATCGAATCTATTTCGTCAAATTTTTTTTTACACGATTTTCGGGCTGATTTTCTCGGTTAGTTTTGTTTATTCTATGATTCGTGTCTCAATTGTTTTGTTTCCACGCGTTTATATACAAGTACTGTATACAGTGAAACCCCAAGATGCGGATGTAATTGATGGGTGCATCACAAATGTCCTGAAGTCAAAATGTCCCGAGGTCGAGTCTCATTTTCCTTTAGACTTACATTATATAATTTTTAATTGGTGTTTCACGTACAAAATACTCACCATAATACCATGAAAATAAAAATTGTCTCCCAATTTTAACTGATTCAATCAATGTATTTCAACACAATATGGACATTTGGGGAATTGAATGCTGATGCATCTGTACAGTACATAGAAATGTTGGCATTCTCTGTAAAAATAGCATTCAAGTGAAAAAGAGAGAAGGAAGTCCCTTTATGCTGGAGGTAATTTTTTTTAATAGCTAAATGTATGGTAAATTGGTGAGAGAAATGCCCAAGAATTTTTCTTACATCAATTTCAGGGTTGAAATATCTGTTTCTTGCAATTTGGCCAGAAATTTATTTGAAATTTTATCACAATGTGTCCCTATTTTGAGTCAGTGTCCTCATGTCTGGCCTTTTTTATTAATTTTTCATAAGAAAATAAGTGTCCCTATGTCAAATTGTCTGCAGGTTGAGGTGTCCGCATGTGGGGGCCTCACTGTATATCTAGTGTAGGTGTTACTGATCAGGCAGAATTCAATTTAAATTTAATGCTGAATTGTCACTTCCCGCAGCTTCTTCATTTTTTCCCCAGAAAAAAAAGGCTGGCTTGCCTGAAGCAAATTATTGTGTGTGTCGCTCTGATTTTTGACTTCGAATTTTCTAAAACAGTTTTGGATAATTGACAGTTTGTAAACTGAAGCTGTGATTAATAGCTGTGGGGTTTTCTCCAATAGAAGACCTGATTAAAAATGACATACTTCACTATAGATTAATGTAGGTGGACTCTCACTGCAACAATATTCTCTGTATAACGATATTTTTTTCCTCAGTTTCCGTAGAGGTTCTCTTACCATGTCATAGAGATTCTCAGCAAAGAAATTCTCTCTACGATGCTTTTTTCTTTTTGGATCCCTTGAATTTCGTTATAGAGAGAGAGTCCACGTGTAATTATTTGTCGTGAATGAAGAATTGCGTTCCCCCTGTTTTTTCCAGGCTCAAAGAGATGACGAAGATGGGCCCGAGGAGCGGAGCATTCCTATGGACGGCCGCAACGGGTTCATGGACGAATTCTTCGCGGAAGTGAGTCGCACTGTCATTTTCACAGTACACTGATGTATAAAGCCCGTGGGCCTTTAATAAATGACTTACAAGGGTAGGGCACCTAATATTACTATTTCCACCTCGTGTGCTCTCCGTTGTAGCTCTCTTAAGTTCTCTTCCACCTGCTCCACTTCTTCTAACACTCGGACCTGCTTTCGTACCCATTGGCCAATGAAAGTGAGTCGCGTGGTTCCGTCCTTTGGATGAAGGAAAGGGGGGATCCGTTTTGAGGGTGTGGCTGGTTCTCGGAGTATGTTTGTGTGTGTGTGTATATATAGTGCTTTGCTGGGACTATCCCTGCTGCGGAAGTGGCAATTTCAGTCCCGACGGGGATGCATTTTAACGGCCTTTCCTTCTTAAATTGTCTCAGGGATTGCTTCGAAGGTACATGTAGTAGTACAGTAGTTTCTTTCGTTTTATTGTCGTAGCCGTCGTCGCAAAAACTTTCCATGTGCCGTCTAAATATATGATAACCCTAACATGAAATGGGAAAAGTTTTCTTCTTTTTTATGTGCATACATTATATTCTGTGTACTGTACTGGTTTTTTTTTTTTTTTTTAGAGTGGACCATCCGTTAAATTATGAATGCTTCTTCTCTCGTGCCAGCCCGTTTCTCATTATAGAAGTCTTGAGAAGAAAAATAAGCTCCCATGTTTCAAGGAATAAAATTTGACGTACAATTTTGAAAATTTATGTTCATGCAGTACAGTAGTTATTTTTCAGGGATGACGAGACCCACTATTTGAATGTACCTGTTCTTTTTTTTTTCTCGAAATTTTTGTATGGCCTGACGAAGTTGTGTGTTTGATGTACGAACTTTGAAGGAGTTTCCGTTGATGATTTTCTTCTTTATTATTTTTTTTGGGGGACGAGGTTCTATTTTTAGGTTTTATTTACAGCGCTTTTTTCCTCTATAGAACTGTTTCTTTTCTTGCCACGTTTGTCAATCGAGCCATTCCAAAATGTTGTCGTGTTACTGAAAAAAAAAATTACGAAATGGAGAAGTTAGCATTGCTGATACTGAATTTATTTTTTGAGACGAGCTTCATTTTTAGCAGTTTTAGAAAGGGCACTGTTTTTCATGGTAGACGTGTGCATTTCATTGTCGGACGATTCCCCATTCTCGTACCTTTGAACAACTAGGGGAAATTGCCACGTACAGTAATGTACTCTAGTGGTAATTTTTTGACGGAAGAATTTTTAACTGAGTCGCATATTTCGGAAATGTTTTTCAATTATTCCGAAAAAAATATTAAAGACTTCTTAGGCCCTTTTTTTCGGAAAACCGCGAAAGAACGCCTTTTCGGGCCAAAATATATGTATTTCGGGGGAAGGGAATAATTGCAGCAAATTCAAATAGAGGAAATTCGCTTGCATTTCTTCGAGTCTCTTCTTTTTTTTTCTGAGGGCGTAAGATGTTTGAAAAATTGATGGCCGGTCAGTCGCTAAGATTTTCTTCTTGAAGAAGGACTTCATTTCACCGAGGTAACTTATGTTTCGTTTCACGCACAGAAATCAAGCAGGAGCTGGAGGAGATCATGGCTGATATCAAGAAGACGGCCATCAAAGTTCGCTCCGAGCTGAAAGGTATATGCGTTGATCTTTTTGCATCCTTCTGGGATAAAATTTCATGTGCAATTTGATTGTTTGTTGTTCGGAAATTGTCTTTTGGGTTTTCATGAAGTCGACGAATTTAATTGCAATATTTTCGAAACTGATCAAGGCTGCAATCGGATTCATATTTTTTCGTTTTCTCTCGTGAAGTTGAGGCAGAGAAGCGCGCATTTTTCCTCCACTGAAGAAGAAACATAATTTTTGATTTACCTTATTCCACCTTCTGGGATAGAATTTCATGCGCAATTTGATTATTTGTTGTTCGGAAATTGTCTTTTGGGTTTTCATGAAGTCGACGAATTTAATTGCAATATTTTCGAAACTAATCAAAGCTGCAATCGGATTCATATTTTTTCGTTTCTCTCGTGAAGTTGAGGCAAAGAAGCGCGCATTTTTCCTCCGCTTCTACCTTATTCCACCTAATTTTTTTTTTTTGCCTACGACAGTAACTAATGAATGTTTTACTGTATTTGCAGTCATAGAGCAAAGCGTGGAGGAGGAAGAGCGCACCAAGAGCAGCTCAGCAGACTTGAGGATCCGCAAATCACAGCATTCCACGCTTTCGCGCAAATTCATTGAAGTCATGACGGAGTACAACAAGACGCAGACTGATTACCGGGAACGGTGCAAAGCCCGAATTCAGCGACAACTGGAGATCAGTGAGTCCAACATCAAACGAACAACCCCACCCCGGGGCTATTTCTTCAAACTGTATATGCACAATGTACCTTTTGTTCCTGCCTTGTTTCATCTTTGGTCTGTGTTTTTTCTAGGAAGGTTTTTACTATTTGTAAGTGAGTTGTTTTTGTCGTGAACACCGTTGGATAAGTTTTTTTGACAACGCGAGAATTTCTCCTTTATTTTTGTGTGATGGCAGATTATCGTATTTATGCGAAAATTGATCATTTTACGTCATTAAAGCAGATGAAACGCATATTAAGAGTGTAATTGGGACAGTGGAGTATTTTTTTTTACAACAAATTGAGTGCAATTTGTAAGTGAGTTGTTTTTGTCGTGGACTGCGTTGGTATTCAAAAAACAGTTGCGCTCTTAAAGAGAAAATAAAAACACACTACCGTCTAATAGCATAAATACGCTTTTAACCTAGTAAAATGCAGTAATTTCGTCTACTTTAGCATATAGTGCTTACATTAAGGGACAGTAGAGTATTTTTTTTTTTACAACAAATTGAGTTGAATCAGGAAAAATGCTTCTTTATAACGAAGAATACCCAACATTTTAGTGTATAAAGTCTAATAACTTCGCGGTTCTTTTGGCATGGACTTGGAGATGAATTCGTTGTAACACGATTTTTAGTGCGAAGTCACGTTTTATTTTTTGAGCTGATATTCTTTCATCACGTACTGTAAAATGTATCTACTATGAAGCCCTTGGGACTTGAAAAAATTACGTTCGATATGACGAACAATTTTTTATGAGCCTTTAGCAACATTTTGTCAATACCGGAGGGATCTCAAAAAACAATTCGTTCTAAAGTTCTAAACCATACTTACATTCACAGTATTACAAGATTTGTTTTAATGAGTTTTCGGTTTATCATCTAGGAGCAGCAAAAACCTGATTGAAAATGCTGACTTTGAAATGTGGCTCACTTCCGTTCATCTCGTTATAAAACCTTTTTTATGCATACTACTGTATTTTCATTGTTTTTACTTTGAAAGTACTGTTATGAAGTTGATTCAGTTTGTCTGTATTTTACTGCCGTGATGATCAATTCTGTTGATAGATCAAATTTGTATTTGCAGCTGGGCGAGTCATGACGAACGATGAGCTGGAAGACGTGCTGGAGCAAGGCAATTCTGCCGTGTTTACCCAGGGGGTAAGTTTTAAGCTGCGGAACAGAGTCCCCCCCCCCCCNAGACGCAGACTGATTACCGGGAACGGTGCAAAGCCCGAATTCAGCGACAACTGGAGATCAGTGAGTCCAACATCAAACGAACAACCCCACCCCGGGGCTATTTCTTCAAACTGTATATGCACAATGTACCTTTTGTTCCTGCCTTGTTTCATCTTTGGTCTGTGTTTTTTCTAGGAAGGTTTTTACTATTTGTAAGTGAGTTGTTTTTGTCGTGAACACCGTTGGATAAGTTTTTTTGACAACGCGAGAATTTCTCCTTTATTTTTGTGTGATGGCAGATTATCGTATTTATGCGAAAATTGATCATTTTACGTCATTAAAGCAGATGAAACGCATATTAAGAGTGTAATTGGGACAGTGGAGTATTTTTTTTTACAACAAATTGAGTGCAATTTGTAAGTGAGTTGTTTTTGTCGTGGACTGCGTTGGATAAGTTTTTTGTCAACGCGAGAATTTCTCTTTTATTTTTGTGTGATGGCAGATTATCGTATTTATGCGAAAATTGGATCATTTTACGTCATTAAAGCAGATGAAATCGTATATCACGAATGTAATTTGGGACAGTAGAGTTTTTTTTTTACAACAAATTGAGTTGGATCAAGAAAAATGCTTCTTTATAACGAAGAATACCCAACATTTTAGTGTATGAAGTCTAATAACTTCGCGGTTTTTTTTTGGCATGGACTTGGAGATGAATTCGTTGTAACACGATTTTTAGTGCGAAGTCACTTTTTATTTTTTGAGCTGATATTCTTTCATCACGTGCTGTAAAATTTCTTTACTATGAAACCCTTGAGACTTGAAAAAAAAACGTTCGATATGACGGAACGATTTGTTATGAGCCTTTAGCAACATTTTGTAAATACCGGAGGGATCTCAAAAAACAATTCGTTCTGAAGTTCTAAACAATACTTACATTTACAGTATTACAAGATTTGTTGTGGTGCGTTTTCGGTTTACCATCTATAGGAGCAGCAAAAACCTGATTGAAAATGCTGACTTTGAAATGTGGCTCACTTCCGTTCATCTCGTTATAAAACCTTTTTTATGCATACTACTGTATTTTCATTGTTTGTACTTCGAAAGTACTGTTATGAAGTTGATTCAGTTTGTCTGTACTGTACTTTCGTGATGATCAATTCTGTTGATGGATATTTAAACATAAACGTCGACCCGCTCAGTACTGCTTGCTACTCGACCTTCTGCACGACCTCGTTCCGTTAAGACGGCACAAATGGGTCCCCCATTCAAAATTCGACGCCTTGTCTCAGGGGGGGGGGGCCTTCTCCTTAATGACTTGATTATTTAGCGTTGAATCGGAAAATTAATCTCACACCCTATGTATATACAGTATGTACTGTAAAATCTCGTTGCAAAAAAACTCCCTGGGACCTGAGAAAAAAATTGTGTTCTGACGAGATTCATGGTTCTTTGAGCATGCATGGAATTGACATTTTAATGGAAAAGAGCAATAGATGAGCTAAACTAAGAACTTCCGAGACAATTTGAAGAATTGTCCCAAATTTCCAACATCTTTTGAGAAAGTAGTGTTGAAAATTCAGGATGTCAAGTGCATATCTTTCATTGCAGACCTTCCCTTCCCTACATTTTTCTATTTGAAAAAAAAAACAGTGCCAATCTTTGTGAAGTATGAGCTTAAAAAAACAGAAAATACCTGCACAAGAAGAGCATTTATTCATTAAGAGCTGGATATTCCCTGGAATAGAGCAGTATCCTTTGAAGCATGCTTTTGTTTAGAAAAAATTTGCTATTTCTAAATTCTAAAATTAAAGGAATTACACTTTGATGAGAGTTTCATGCTTCCTGCAATGCTAAATTTTCTGCATAAAAAGATTGGCATGTACAGTATATTTTTTTAATGTTTTTAAATTATGCAAAAAATGCACACATAATCAAGAAAAAATCCGTTATAATGAGATTATAGAGGAAAATTATTGCGTTATAACGAAATTTTTATACTGTACCATTGTCCGTGAGGAAATCTTTTTTTTAGGACCAAGAAAATAATACGTTATAAAGAGATTCGTTGTAACGGACTTTCACTGTACAGATCGTGATGGAGACTCAGCAAGCAAAGCAGACATTAGCCGAGATTGAGTCTCGGCACGCAGACATCATCAAGCTGGAGAACTCGATCCGTGAATTGCACGAGATGTTCATGGACATGGCACTTTTGGTGGAAAGCCAGGTGAGGCTGGTGCTGAGGACGGGGGGGGGGCTTTTTTTTTCCTCTCGGGGGTGTTTCATGCTTGGGGAGCTTTTGGTGGTGGTGGTGGTGACGGCTTTTTTTGTGTGCTTGAATGAGTCAGAAAGACGGACGTCGGGAAGGCGTTTGATGGACCATCTTTTTCTTTCTGGCTCATTTGAAGTCGTGAACATTTTTTCTTTTCCTTTTTTTTTTTTTCCTTGTCTTTCTCTCTCTTTCTCTCAACGCGTGAACTTAGGGTGAGATGATAGACCGTATAGAGTATCATGTTGAGCACGCAGGCGACTATGTTCAGGCCGCAACACAGGACACCAAAAAGGCACTCAGATACCAGAGTAAAGCCAGGAGGGTGAGTTTGTGTGCTCGCCCGAAGTCTCCTTGACTTGCTCCATGTGTTTTTCTCTTNAGAGTATCATGTTGAGCACGCAGGCGACTATGTTCAGGCCGCAACACAGGACACCAAAAAGGCACTCAGATACCAGAGTAAAGCCAGGAGGGTGAGTTTGTGTGCTCGCCCGAAGTCTCCTTGACTTGCTCCATGTGTTTTTCTCTTCTGTGTGGAAATTTCAAACCCCGAATCCCTTGATTATGAACACTGTTTTTTTTTTTTCATCTTCCTCCGTTGAACCCCTCGTGGTGTATAAAAAGTCCCCGCATTCCCATGGCCGACTTGAATAACTGGGTGGAAATGAGGTTATATTGAGTCGGGCCACCGTTGTCTTGTAGTTGGTGTTTGATCCCCACCTGCTTGGCTGCAATTTGGATCTGCGTGTTGGGCTGAATATGATTTTATTTTTTTTTTCCATGACGATGATGATGATTTTGATTTGATTGATTGACTGACTGACTGATTGCCGCTTCTTCCCTCCCTGTTTTGGCTACCTGCTGCTCATGGCACAGCATACATGCACCTGCAGATGCTGCGTTGTATGGAAAAAGTTTTTCTTTCTCTCTTTTTTAGTTCATCTTGT